GACTACAGGAAGCCCGAGGCAGAGTTGCTCTGCCCCAGGCTTCCTGGAATCAGCCGCTGATCAGTTTCAGCAGCAGCTGACTTGGGGACGCCTGGGTTTCTTAAGTTGAATCTGTATGTAAGTCAGAACTGGCATCCAGATTCAGCCGCGGTTGAAACTGATCAGTTTCAGCAGCAGCTGACGCCAGTTCCGACTTACATACAGATTCAACTTAAGAACAAACCTACAGTCCCTATCTTGTATGTAACCCGGGGACTGCCTGTAAATAGTGAACAAGTACTTTCAACCCTCAAATAGAATTATTCAAATCAAATATTTACCTGAGTCCAGCCTGGTTAGTTCCTTCTTCTGCAACATGGCTACTTTCTATAAAGCTAGGTATGTCAACAGCCTTTAACGAGGAGGCAATACTTGTATCTTGCTCAGTGTTAATAGAAATGCTTATTTCTTCTTTTGATATTTCAGGGTCATTTTGTTTAATTGGACACACAGAGTCTTTTTGCTTTTCAGATGGTGAGTTCCAAAATAAGCTAGCACCTAGGAGAGGAAAATTAATGTAGCTCTTGATTTTAAGCAGTTTAGAATGATTATCTAGTTTTCAAATAATTTATTGTCTGCACTTTCACAGAAATTATATCCATTGCTGTGTTTAGATTTATTTTCATTATTTTTTAAAAAATGACTTAAGTTCTAAAACAGTCCGTAAAATAATTGGAGAAAGCTACCTTTAGTTAGGGAAATAACTGCCGAAGTTAACACTGTTCTTCAATTAAAAAAAAATTACATTTATGTGCAATAGCAAATAAATACTGTTTTATTTAACAAAAGAAACAACTAGATAGGAATACAGTTAGTCTTGTATACCTCTAAATTCACTTCTGAGTTTGAAGAAAGGAATGTATCCCATCAGTAAGATTCAACTTTTCTCCTCCTCCAAACCAGCCACAACCTTGTCATAAAGTGTTAAAAGGACTAGGAACATTAGTTCATGACTTAGTAGTGTCATTCAAGTGACTCACTGACATGAAAGAGTCAGTTTTTCCCTTGAAGATAGGTATGACATCAATATCCAATATATAGCATTGGGGGGAAGGGAAGGAATGGAGACTTTTAAATGCCTGTGGGGGGAAGGGAAGGAATGGAGACTTTTAAATGCTTGATAGCACATAAACCAGGATTAGAATTATTACACATAAAGCAAGAGAACGTACATCATCATGCATATAGAGAAAGGGCCCACAATTATTGTGACGGAGTCATGGGTTGAACAAAAGACTTCACTGAAGATTAAGGGAATTTTACATTTCCAATGAGATCAGACATAGCTTCATCTCCTTGTCATGAGTAACTCTTATCTGGCCTTGCATGACAATTCCCAAAAGACAGGCCTGATTTTCAGAGGTGCTCAACACCTACCAGCTGATTGACTATACAGTGGTGGGTGCTAAGTACTTCTGAAAATCAGGCACAAGAGAAAAGTCTAAGCACCATTAACAGGTTTATATTTCTATCATTCTGAAAAATAATAAAAAAACCTTACCTGTGCTTACAGCAATGCTCACACTTTTTCTCATGTGTAAACCTTGGGAGGACTGTGTTTCCATGGCAACAAATTCCAACTGCTTCTCACACTGCAAGGCCTTGTTATCTATGGTGGTTTTGGGGGAACAAGGTTGAAGAGTTTGTGCTTCCAACAAACGCTGGATCTGTAACAGTTATCAGGAGAGTACATCACTTGCAGTGCAAGTATAATATTCTCAGGACAATAGCGACAATAAGTTACCCTACAAGACTTTCATTTCTGAAGATCTGGATTCAAATTCTGAGTATGTTGCAGTACAAGACAAGTTTAATGGTATTTTATTTACCATCAGAGAGTTTAGCATGATTTGTTGCTTTTAAGCTTGAAATAGAAGGCAAATGAAGGTCACAATGGCAGAACTACACCAAAAATCTTTGCACTGTGCCTGGTCAAAGACACAATGATTAGTCCCTTTTGTATCTCTCTCCCGTTCCCAATAGGTTAAACAACGTTGCAACGTAAAGGATGCTGAGTTTGGAAAGGCCAGATTTAGGGCAGACTTAAGGTTTCATGGGCAACCAAAAATCTAGCATGTAACTTGGAGTGCTTGACTGTGAAAGAATCTTACTTAGGTTCCGAGGAGAGGTGGGGGGAATTAATGTTAGTCTGTAACTTTAAAAATGAGTAGTCTTGTGGCGCCTTAGAGGCTAAAATTGCCCACGAAAGCTTATGCTCCAATACATCTGTTAGTCTATAAGGTGCCACAGGACTCTCGTTGCTTTTACACATTCAGACTAACATGGCTACCCCTCCCCTCTGATTTTTATTTTTTATATATATATATACACACACACACACACACACACACCATTAGTGAGTTTTGCCCACAAAAGCTCTCTCAGATGAGCTTGAGCTCATCTCTCAAGCTTATCTAGGAAGTGGGTATTGCCCACGAAAGCTCATGATGCTATAGATTTGCTGGTCTCTAAGGACTAATTATTTAGGTTGCAATGTCATTTCCTACTTTCTTCTTTAAGGAAAAAAGGGAGATAAGTTCTGCTATTTCCATCTTTTCACTTCCTCTCTTGCATCATCCATTGGATTAGAACCCTAAACTTTCAACTTGACACTTAACTACACTGGTTGTTATCCTGGGGGCTGGGCTGAGGGACAGAATGGGCTACTGGCACTACATGCTGAGACTGGGAAGGGAAAGGATGTGTATCAGGAGGAGAGGGAAGACACGAGCCTGCCTTGTCTCCACCTCACAATGCTCTGGAAGCAGACTAGCTATTTGGAATGTTCCTGTTCAGCTACTATTTTGGCAGGCTGACAATTTTCACGAGGAATCCAAGCGGTAGAAGGGAAATGGCAACTTTAATTTATCCTGAACAGAATTCTAGGGGACAAGTGAAAGAAAAGCACACTTCCAACTCTAGGGCTTTAACCCTGCTGAATTTCTACAGCATGCTGCAAACAATGGAGGCATGTATGCTTCTCAAAAAAGGTTGCACAATTTTTCAGCATGCTGCAAACAATGGAGGCATGTGTGCTTCTCAAAAAAGGTTGCACCATTTTTTATAATGTAGTAAGTTGCAAATTTGGTTATGGGAGAAGAAAAAAATTAGAATGCAAGGTGCTTTCACTGTATATTTATATTAATTCAAAACCAGTTCATGGCTAATTAAACTATGCAGTTAGCTGTCTCTACCCACCCAGAAAGCACATCTACTAGCAACACAAAACAATTTGCCGAAAGCAGAGCAAACATTTACCTGTGTTACTTGATTGTAATTACAAAATCTAATTAGAAAAATCAAATCACTTTCAATTTGCTTTTAACGGAGACCAATTATCAGTAGAGCTGCCTACTTAGAGAACTGGGTCCCAATTTGACAGGATCCCCTTTCCCAACTAAAAAAGGTAGCTATAACCAAAGTTATTCTGATTAGTCTTATTTTTAGAAACTATTTACCAGATCAGTAAGAGGGCAGAGGAGAAAACCTCCCAAACAAACCTGAGCTTGAAGTAATTTCAGCTGCCTGTTTTGTTCTGTAAGAATCCTGTAAGCATCTGGAGATAATCCCATCATTCCATTATCTGATCCCATTTTGGGGGTAAGGGCACACATGCACGCTGAATGGGCTGCACAGCATTGCAGATTGCAAGGGCTTGCCGGTGAAGAAAATCTTGATCCAGGTGATAAACTGCAACCAACAGAGCAACTCCCCATTTCCCCATTATATCCATGAGTTACAGGGCTACTTGGGGTATGTACTGGACTGCAGCAAGTATTTGGACAAGTGACATTTTGATGGAAAACTGAATATGCACTCTCTTGAGGAACATCAGATTGGATTTGTGTGTGGCTGGAACCCCTTTTAACCATTCCTGAACAAGCATTTGTTGAACTGTATTGGATAGGTCCATGAAACTGACAACAATTACACACACCAGTTGGATAGCAAGATGGCACTTGAGGGACAGGCACCTGCAGTTCTGTTGATCTTCTTGAGTTCATGGGTGAAAAAGCAAAGTTGTACTGGAGAGGCTGTATGGCACCAGGATATTGCTTAGAATTAGATGTTGAAGGTCTCCTTGCTGGAGGTTCTTCTTTTCTTTGTGTGGCTCCATCAGGATTTGATACAAGTTTTTCAGATGGCATCCTGGGTTGATGCACAGATGTGTCAGTAGAAGGCCCACTAAGAGGTGTTGCAGGAGAAGGGGATGGTGAAGAGGAAGAAGATCCAGAACTCTTTCTAGTATGAAGGCCAACTCTTCTACAGCAAGGCTGCTGTTGTAGTGGCAATTGCTTTGCTTTGCAAGGTTTCAGAATTGGAATTATCTGGTTTAACTGGCTAGGTGGCTGTCTCAATGAAGGATGTGCCACATGGGTGCTGCAGCTTTGTTTATCACTATCGGAGCATGGATTCTGGTGGTATAGTGGTCCTGTTGAACAAGTCTTTTTTTTAAGCTGATGTACCAGTAGTGGCTGATTTTTGTTATTCATAGTTTCCATAGGCTGAGACATTGGTTTTGGTTCTATGAAGCTACCATCAAAGATGAGGGAGAGTTCAGGAACGGAAGGATGGATTCTAGTAACCTGGATAGGAGACAATTACAAGAATGAAGTCAAACTCACTCAGGAACCATCAGGTCACCTTATCTGAGCTACATATTTCTAAAAGCACAACTTCTCTGCCACTCGTAGCTAAAATAAATATGGGACACTTAAAAAAATGTTGCTTCTGGTCAGTAAGACTTCTTCCCCACCCATTCAAGGCATTAACATAGGCTAAAGGGATCCAACAATAGGAATACAGGAATCACAAAGAACGCTTACTTACCTTTTGTAACTATTGTTCTTCGAGATGCACTGCGCATGTCAATACTAAATACATGTGTGAACTGCATGCATGATCGTTGGAAGACTTTTCCCTAGCGGTACCCATGATGCCTTGCGGCATCGCATATATTCCCCCTGCCGATCCAACTCCCACTTCAGTTCCTTCTTGCTGGGACTGTCCAACACCAGGGAGGTGGGTGGGTCTGGCATGGACATGAGCAACAGTTACAAAAGGTAAGTAACCATTCTTTGAGTGATTTCTCATATGCATTCCAATATGTGACTTAGCAGCAGTATGTACAGAGAATGTGTTGGATTCTAACTCATTGCTGAGTGTAGTATAGCCTTGCCAAATGCCACAACATCCCCGGACTGCTGGGTGAGAGTGTAATGAGTCGTGAAGGTGTGCAACGAGGACCACATACACACGGCGGTACTGCAGATGTCCTGAATCGGGATTTGTGCTAGAAAGGCCATCAATGAGGCTTGCACTCATGCTGAATAGCCTGTGATCGATGGGGCTGGCACCTTGGCCTAGTCATAGCACAGCTTGATATATGTAGCGATTCAGGACAACGGGCACTGCGACATAATCAGTAGGCCCTTCATGCACTCCACAACGGAGATGAAAAACTGCATCAACGGGCAAAATGGTTTAGTGTGCTCAATATAGAAAGTGAGGGCACACCTCACATCCAGCAAGTGTAGTGACCTCCCCCTGTCCTTGGCACAGGGCTTAGGGAAGAAAACAGGCTGAAAAATATCCTGATTGATGTGAAAAGTAGGGATGTTAGAGCGTGTATAATTGAATAGCTGTGTAACCGCATGACATTTTAGCCGTTACACAACTATTCAGTAGTCCCTGGGGGTAGGGCCGAAAGCCAGTACGCCTCGGATGTGAACTCCAAGCATGCAGGGACTGACCCAGACTGTGCCAGAGACCGGTACCGAGGCGAGTGGGAGTGGATGCTCATGCCAGCGGGCTTCCCATGGTACCGAAGTAGCAGTGCAGGTAGCAGAGCCATAGTCTGGGACTGAGGCAGAGCCACTGGTGTTGGGTGCAGTGCTGGGTAGGGCCCACGCATCAATGTTACTGGTGCCATGGACATGGGTGTAGATGGTGATGCTACCAAGGGAACGTTCTGTTCCTCAAATGGTGCCATCAAGTTCAATGAGGTCCTTCACGGCCTCAGATGCATCCAATGTGGAAGGAAGATCAAAGTCCTCCTCCACTACTACGAGCACTTGGGAGTCCACCAACACTGGACTCGACAAACCTGTCAGTGGGGCCTGAATTTTTCTGTGCTGGGGAACCGTGCCAATGCTGTTTTTCAGGGCATGGCATGCTGCACACCAGTGGCATCGGAGTGGCTGGCTATGGTTTAAGTGTGGATTCCATGAGGACCAGTTTACGCTACTGGTCCCTTTTCTTTTTAGTTTGCAGCTTAAACCCCCTGCAGATACTGCACTTATCTGGCAGGTGACCCTGTCCAAGACACTTCAAGCAGGTGGTGTAAAGATCCCCTCTGGGCATATGCTTGCCACACTTTGCACACTGCTTGAAACCCTGTTTCATGCCCCAGGAACATGACCAACAGGAGGGGGAAACCCCTCCCCCCTCAATTAACTACTCAAGTAACTCAAACAGCTAATCTACACAACAAAAGAACACTATGCTAGGGACTAATTGCTTGCAAAGCAAGAAGTCAGAAGCTCCAACAACCATCACTAAAGGAAAGAAGGAACCTATACAGGAGTCAGGTTGGCAGATCTATATATGTGATATCTTCAGGTGTTACCACTGGAGGCACCACAGCCGGTCTGACAGGTACTGCTAGGGAAAAGTCTTCTGATGACTGTGTGTGCACCATATCCACTGAAATACATATGAGCAATCACTTGAAGTAGATAAGCCCTGTTTTGAGGCAAAATTTCTGCCTCTAAGGAGGTCCGGATGTTGTATCTTACAGAGTCAATGTGTTATTGTGGGGGATGGGTGTCTGGAGGAGAAACAGCCGCAAGACTCCTTGAGAATTGGTTCTTCCCTTTCAGGATAGAGTGTGCAGTTTATAGTACTTGCAGCCCAGGCATCTAAAAAAATCCCTAGAGTGAGAGTTTTAAAGCAACCATTCTAGACTTAAGTATACTAAGTATTTACTTATTTCTGGGTAGCTCAAGTTTATAAAATGCAGCCATTCAAAAGCTTTGAAAGCACAGAACACAATTTAGAGAAAGACAGAGGATGGACTAAGGGGACCCTCATAAATTCCCACTGAGAAGTGTACTGTTTAGTCATTTCTTGCTGCTGCCTTTCCTGTCCTCCCCAGCCTCCCAAAGTATAGTGGAATGGAAAGGTGGATGAGATCTCTGTCTCTCCTCCCAGTACAGAAACATTTACTGAACTCTTGTTTATTTTGCATTATTATAAATTTCCACCTAGCAATGGACCAATACCATTGTAGGATATTTTTTGTTCCTGATATATTAAGAAAAAAAAAAAAAAAAAAAACCCCCCCCCTTTCTTTTCTTACCCCCCCCAGCCATGTTGTATCCCTTTCCTTATTTACTACAATTTGTAACTTCTGATTTTATTCATAGCTATCACCTTTCCCTTTCTTCATTTCCCCTCTACAACAGGTCATTTTTTTAAACTAAAATGGTGCTTCTTCCTCATTTGTGTGAGTACAGCTTTTGAGCATCATGTAAGATGCTCTGACAATTCCCAATTATTATTCACACTTTTCTGATTAAGTTTTTTTCCCCAGATAATCCGACTCAATTATATTCAGCTCTGTGAAACTATTCCTCTTAAAATACCAAATTTCTCTCTCACTGGTCTGGACTTCACTCTGATTCTGTTATAAACAGGGCTCGATGACTGTGGCGAAAACCCACTCGCCAGCCCCGCACCGTGCATGTGCCAGACCCACACTACGCATGCACGCACCGCCAGTGAACGGGGCGACTGGCTGAAATCTATTCGCCGTGGGCAAGTAGATAAGTGGATTTGTCGAGCCCTGGTTATAAACATGCAGAAGTCATGATCACTTGAACCCAAACTACCATTAATTTTTAGTTCTGTGATAATTTCCTCTGTCTAATATAGAATTCTCCCATTCAGCCTACCAGTTTTGTTTTGTTTTTGAGTTAGAAAATAGTCATCTATAATGTTTAGAAATCCCAAGGATCCCTGGATGAGAGGCAGTATAGAAAAAATTAAAGTTACCTGTTGACTCACTGGATGAGGACTTGGAATAGGTCTTGGAGATAAATCTTCATCTTCCACACCTGAATCATGATCACTCACTGACAATTTGCTGGGAGAGGAGCCTTGAGGAGAACTGAAAAAACCAAAACCAAAAAAAGACCCAAAAAACCCAACCCCACCAAGAGACCTTTGAGTAACTTTTCTATTTTAAAATAAGTTTTACAGAGTGCATGAATCTTGACAACCTAATCTATTTCTGATGTGTGGCCCATACCAGGAGATCTACAGAACAGCACTGTTATGAACCACTTGATAATATCTCTCTCCTGACTGACTAGGAAGTGTTAGATAGCAAGAAGAGTTCTAAAGCGGACAGGGGAATAAACATCCCTTTCTGGATTATCATCCAGCTTTTATTCAAAGAATCTTTGACTGACATAAGTCTTTCCAATGACATTCTATGAGTTGGCACTGATTTATCATGCCCAATGTAAAACACCAATAGGGAAAGCAGGGCTGAGGAAAAATATACATAATATAGCTTTACACAGAATAAAGACCATCTTATTGTTAAACTCAGGTTTTAATGGCAAATTAGATTTATAAAATCTAAACTCCCTGCTATGGACATTTCAGAGCTCTGACAAAAAGAGGCATTTCACTGATTTCCTTCTTGGACAACTGGCATTCACCAAAGCAGCATCATATAGCACGCGAGGCAAGGCATATATTTTAGGAAACATCCACTTAATTGTATAAAAGCCTTTAATGCCAATATATCTAGTATAGTTACATGTAGAAGTTTGTCTAGAAACATATGGTCAACTTTTAGACCTTACTAAAAGTTGGAAACCCCCCCCACAATCAAATTCTGATCACTTGCACCTTCCCTTAATTAGCAGACTTAATGGCCAGGTAAGGCCATTTTAGGATAATCTAGCCTGACCTGCATAACACTAGTCAAAGAATTTTATTCAAAACCACATGTTGGAAAAGACTGTGTGTGTAAATGACATTTGAAAGAGATTCTTCACCTTCTAATGGAAAGATTCTTAGAAACGTTGCTGAAGAACTCTGTTTCTGCATTTTGGTTTTCTGCACTCAGCTCAAATTGAATAGGGTGCTTGTCTGAAGGTTCAACGTTCTGAAATTAAATAAATGGATTGTATTAACAAAATCTGAAGCAAGTCAGTGACATCCAACCCACTGCCCCAATGTGCTATATTATGGCTATCAAACAGATGAGAATGTTTTTATTTGGTTACTAACTGAAAGGTACAATGCAAATCTGTAACTCAAGAGTATGAAACAGCCTCATCACTACCGGGTGTCAGTAAGGATGCCTCCTAGATGTCTCCCATTGCTCAACTTTAGCTTCTTGGTGTTTGTTCATATTCAGAATTTTTTAGCACTTATGATTAGAGTGTTACAAACTATGTGTGGACTTTGGAGGACCTCTTGTATTTTAAGTCCCTGTTAACATAGGAAATTAGAATAATTACTGTACTAGTGTAGAGCTACACTAACACTCAATTTGTGCAGGTCACATTAATGCTTTCTACCTTTACGCTATAATTCAGCTTTTAATTATCAATCCACTACAGCAGGCCTGGGCAAAATACCTTCCTTGGGTTGAATCCAGCACACCAGGCTGCCAGATCGGGCCTACGGATGCAGCGCTGCTACTGAGAAAAGCTGCTGCCGGATTCTGTTTGAACAGCTGTGAGCCCGGGGGAGGGAGGAGCAGCTTCAGACGCTGCTCCCACCCCCAGCACAATCCTATTGGCCTCTCTCACTTTAAGCTTGTAGTTGTTCAAAAACCACATGGTCCCTGAAACCAGTGCAGGGTAGGGAGTCTGCTTGTGAAGGCTGCTGGCTGGAAGTAAAGGTACCCCAGCCAGAGCCTAACTTTGCCCCCCCATATAACCCAAACCCACTGCCCCCTCCCAGATCCTGCATCCCAATCCCCTGCCCCTAGTCACAACCCCATCCTTCCTTAGGTCACAGCCCCTCCACCCTAGTCCCCTAAGCCAAGGTCACAACTGCTTCCTTACTCTAAACTCTCTTCCAGACCCCATGCCCTCTCCTGCACTCCAATCCTTTACTGCAAGCTCCCTTCTGCACTCAACCTCCAACCCAAACCCCACACTTCCTCCATTAATATGGAAGAGCAAAGCCCTTGACCACTTTCCAAATTCTTGGAGTGCCCCCCGCCATCAAAAATTATTGCCCAACCCAGTACTATAGCATAACCTCAAACCAAGATATTAGTCAACCTAGCCACTTACTTTGAAGAGATGTAATGTTTCTTTACTTGTTAACAGCTGGAACCCTAGTTCAGTCTGCCCACTGCAAGGAAGGCACTCATAAAACTCTGGTTCCTTGTGGGTTAGTGAATAGAAAACAATAAGGAAGCTCCCAGACTCTGAAAGAACCCTAGATAAAAGAAAAGGCACTCATTTTAAAAAATACACTATTTTAGAAACAGGAAAAAGCCACTTGACCAAATAAACTGCCTATATGATGTACTGACAAATGAAGAACACCCAAGGTGATGTACTTCAGCTAAAAATGAGTATTGAGTGAGCTTTCAGTAAGGAACTGCATACAAATACAGTTGCCCTTTCACTGATGCTGTGCATGGAGAAAACAGGATGACAACTGTAGGCCTTTTTTTAAAATCAAACTATTTTATATCACTTGGCTTCCTAAATGGAGGAACTCATTCACAGAACAGATGTCAAGACAGAACTGCTACACTGCTAGGTGCTATATTGTAGCATCTTAACTGATCACAAGGTTTCTTCTATAAATCACGTAGTGAACCACAATTTTAAAGAAAGTACTGTACTTCAATTGTTTCTACATTCTCAAAAGTGCTCTTCTATCAAAATACTCAAAAAAGTGTTAGGGGAGGATAATAATTTAATCTCATATTATATTAGCATTTTCTGTAGCTGGAGAACATTAGATATACAGGTCCAATACAGCATTTGAAACAAAATTCACTCAAGTTCAAGAACAATAAAAAAACCCAACAGATTGACAGTAAAAAGCAGAGTTTATTCATGAATTAGTTTTCAAATATTGTGAAAAGAATTTCATGTGCAAGCTGACTATATCTTTATGCTTGTGAGAAGTGAACACAAAATAATAATAATAAAAAACCCCAAGAACGTCCAAAATTTTTGAAGTGGCTAATTTCAAAACTCCATTAAGTGATACAGCACATTTAAGTAACAAAGAATTAAGTTATTTTGCCCTTTGTTGAATGTCGAAAGGTCTTTTTGGTTAGCCATGTTTCCAAAAGTCATTAGATGTATACTGACCGAATTTATGGACATTAGTATTCAGGAATATAAGCAATTTATTTTTATATTAATAGATTTTAAGTCCAAAAGGGACCATTGCTTCATTTAGTCTGATTTATATACAGCCAATACTCCATCAAGGGGAGTACATCAAACCAAAAGCATGTTTTCCATAGCATCTAGTGTTTGGTAGCTCAAACAATACTTTTATCAAATCAAGTTTAAGTCATTTACCTTTCTTGAATTGAAGAACTGAACAAATAGCGCAGGCAGCAAGCCCAGACTGGTGGACTATAGATATGAGTGATGCCACTCAACCAACTACAAGGTATGGGAAAAAAATCTGTTTAGAAAGGGATTTCTTATATTCTCCACCAAAACACTCACTCAAGTACATGACAAAATGATAAAAGTATCAGGAAAATATACAAAGCTAGACAAATACTTACATTCCAACCAATGGCAAAGTATAAGCTTTGGGATCAGATTCCAACACCAGAAGTAGTTTTCGGGTTTGGTCCATTGTAAGGTATCTGGAACATTAATAGGCCAAGTGTTTGTTTAGGAATGAGGAAGTCCAGAACGACAATATTTAAGATCAGTGCAGGATTTTCTTCTGAAGGTGTATTTTCAGAAGATGCTGTTTTAAGGCTTTGGGTGGCAAAAGTACTCATGTATCAGGAACAATAGATAGCCTCAAGCTTATTTTCTAGATCTCAACAACCCAACTGAGCTGTTATTGAAGCCACTACATCTTAGAAGATCTGCATTTTGAAAGGTCCACAAACCAGAAACAAAAATAAATTGACAGCCCTGTATGCTCAAACTAGTTTATTTTCTGATGTAGGTCATATATGAAGTTCGCAGTGCACCCTATTAATCTGACAGAATGAAGATTCTCTAATGTTATCTTATTATGAATATTTACAAATGTTTTTAAAATAAGGCTATATTCCACCCAACCTCACCTGATTTTCATTTCTAGATCTAGCACGGTTGCTATTTATAAAAGACTGAAGGCTTTTTTTTAAAGCTAACAAAACTATAATTATGTTTTCCTTTTCTTCTCATAGACTGATTTTTCCCCTACTAAGTCAAAAGCAAGAGCTCTGGTTGAATATAATGATTCAGAATGTCTCATGATTCCTGTTCGGGAGCACTAGCTTCCTTTGCTCACTATGTAACAGGGATGTAAAATCCCATTTAATTAGTTAACTGCTTAAACTTTAACTGATTAAATAGGTGGGCTGGCTGGGAACTGGTAGCCCTTTCCCCTTCTGCTGCTGCTTCTGTCTTGCACAAGCCTGCCGATTCCTAGCCGGCGAACCCCATCTGCACCCCACAAAGTTGCCGACTCCCAGCCTGCATGGCCTGGGAGCAGCAGGTGGAGGGCTGCTCCCAGGTAACAGTTAACTGTTACCCAGTAAGTATCACCTGTTAAGGGTGATAATTACCAGGTAACTGGTTATCCGGTCACATCCCTACTGTGTAAAAATCTTTCTAATTAAAGATACTGAAAGCTAAATCAGAAATCATATTTTTTTATACTTCAGCTGTCTTTATTAGGAAGCAGGAAGGCCAAGCTACTGAGACTAACGAGGAAAAATTTCCCTTCACCATTTAACTGATGCTTGACAGTTTTAGCATTGAACTTACCCACATTTATAAATCCCCTGAATCTGTGCAATATTCATATGCCCACTCAAGTTTCTTGCCAGGGCTGTAGGAATAATTGGGACAGGCTTCACAGGAGTGTATTCTAAAGAATTGGTTATAGTAATAGCTGCCCAGTGAAAATCGAAGTTTAGGTTGTCCATGTTCTCGGTTGAAGCAATGTGAACTCTTACGGTGAGCAGTTTGGACAGATCCAAAGAGTCTCTACTGCACAAACTGTGTTGAAGTATCTAGAAGACACACAAAAAATTCTGAGACTAGTCTTTATACACATCATTTATATAGGAGGTGTATATTACAGTACTGCCTAGAAGCCTCCGTCAGGGATCAAGGATAACATTGTGCCATGCATTGTTCAACACAAAGAATCCATTCCTCCTTCAAACAGCTTATGAACTGAACATGCTAAATAGTAATATGAAATGCATCCATAATGTATATGAAAATGCATAGCTAGCTATGTTAATTGGGAATGCACACACAAAAAACACAAAACAAAACACCTACAAGGCTAAATGGAGGGTGCAAGATTTAGTTTATCCAAACTCCAGCAACAAGATAACCGCTTGCATCCAAGAAGCCCTCGTAACACAAATGAACACCACCACAAGGAAATTATTCACTAGAACATAAATTGTTTTTTCTAAATAGGAAGAGCCAACTCACAAGTACATTCAGAGGGCATGCGTAGCAGGAAAACAACATTTAGCTACCCTAGGTTCTCTGCTTCCTTGAATGACAGCTAAAGTTGAAGTGTCCCTTTTCTGGGAGAAGAGATATTTGTTCACCCTCCCACCCCAAGATTTGGGCCAGGAAAAAGTTTACTTTATTTTTAAATCTAGATTTTTTTAAAGACATACAAGTTCCCATTTATATAGTTTATAGAAAAGGAAATCAGCCCAGCAGTAAAGCCTACTACATTAACTGCAGAGAATAACCATTTATTGCTTGTACTTATTACTATGGATTTTGATTTTTAAAAAACAAAACAAAAGCCATCCTACAAACAACAACAAAAAACCCAACCTGCCCTCCTCCCCCTCCATGCTCTTGCTATTTTGTAACTGACCAAAAATTTGTCAACATTGTCAGGGCTTGCCCTCCCTAATTTAGTTGAAGGACCAACTGGAGAGCTAGAGAAGAATTAAAGAATCCTAGCCAACTGAAACCTAAGATTAGCTCTATGACTTCAGTTGAAATCAGAGTTTGAAACACAACTCTTAAACAGCAAAACTAATCAGTGTAACTATATATCCCATCCCATCTTACATAACATTTGGAAAACTGTAGCTTATCTTGCTGTCTCTTGTGACGCAATTATTTCACACAGTTTTTCCAATAACAAAAATTCTGTCTACACTGCAATGCTGATTCAGCCTCCTGGGGGGCTCAGGCTGTACGCCTGTTACATTACAATGTAGACTTCCAGACTCAGGCTGTAGCCCAGCTTCTATGATCCTGCAAGTTGGGAAGGTACCAGAGCCAGGGTTCCAGCCCCAAAAGTCTATATTGCATCATTACAGCTCTGCAGTTCATGTTGGCTGGTATGAGCCAAGCATAGGTGGACATACTCAAAGAGGGTTCTTTAGCCCTGCCCCCCAAAAGTCAAAAGGATGTGAAGAACTGATATTTCTTATACATAAACAACAACAAAAATCCACCTACATCACGCATGATTTTCTGTAAATCAGAGGTGGGGAATCTCAAGCCTGGGGACTGGATATGGCCCTCGGCTTGCCTGGATCTGGCCTGAGGCTCAAGGCCCCCTCCAGTATTAGAGAGGCCAGGCTGGTGTTCGAGCCCCCTTGCCTCTCCTCTGGGTGCTGAAGCGCACAAAATCTGCTAGGCTGGCCCCTCCTAGGCTTGGTGTGCGAGGGGAATGTGGGAGTGTCTTTCTCCTTCTCAGTCAGGGGCCACAGTGAGGGGTTTCCCCCTTGCTTTTCTCACTTGTGTGCGGCCCCTGACTGATTTTTCTGTGCATCAATGGCCTTCAATGAAAAAAAGGTTCCCCGCCCCTGCTGTAAATCAACCAATAAGGAGGGTTAGGTTTGCAGGCAGAGGAGGTTTCACATCACAGATCTTTTGATTTTAAGAGAATTTAGTGTAGAATATTGCCTTGCAAACTGAAATAGTCCCCCCCCCAGTATCCAAGACCTCCCCCACTGCAACTTGAGCTCCTCATTCTGACATCTGTCACCACTGAGAACAGCTTCTCTCCATCCTCTTTGGAACCTCCCATTCTTGTGAATAACTATTTCCCTAGGAGGGTGGTGAAGTACTAGAATGGGTTACCTAGATAGCTGGTGGAATCTCCATCCCTAGAGGTTTTTAAGTCCCGGCTTGACAAAGACCTGGCTGGGATGATTAAGTTGGGATTGGTCCTGCTTCTAGCAGGGGTTGGCCTTGATGACCTCCTGGGGTCTCTTCCAACCCTAGGATTCTATGATTTGGCACCAGTAACAAAGCAAGCTTTAGCCATATTAACCCACCATTCTAGGAGAGAGCTTTATGTAGGAGCCAAAAGGAGTTTGGTCTTAGCAGAAATTCCAAGTGCCAGAGATCAGCACTGAGACTACCAATAAAGGAGCTTAGTGACAATCATGACATGGATTCAGAACAGATCATTTCACACAGGCCTCATACATGATAACCTTCTAGCCTTTGCTCCGCTGCTTTGGATTTAGATAAATGTCAGGAAAGTGAAAGATCCTGAGAGGGGACTAGATGGCTTTCAGTGTCACTGTAGCTAGAAATGGCTTACCTTAAAAGCTAAGTTGAAGTCTTCAGAATTGTGCACTATAACATCTCCAGAAGAAGAGCCCCACACATTAATTGTACATGGAATCAAAAAGTCGCCAGGAAGAGGTGCTGTGGGAACTTTACCTAAACCATCAGTTACTTCTCGACCAGGATCAAATCTATCGATTGTCAGTGATACACCTTCACCGTCTGGGACGAAAAGCGCCATGGCAAAGAAAAACAGATGTGAATAAATACACTGTATCTTGCATCCTGAAACCTTCTAGTCCAGTTCAATGACTGAGGCTTGCTCAGTCACCAGAAATGCAGAAACAAGTCAGTGACAACTATTTAATAACACATTCATACAGGTTTAAAAAAAAAAAAAGTGTTACCTTCCTCCACTGCAAGAGTGCCAAGAAAAAAACAGGAAAAGAACTTTTTTTCACTCTGCTTAGCATGGCGATAGGCAAGACGAAGAGCCTTCTCCATCATTAATAGTTTGGGATTTCTGGGAGGAGGAAAAAGAGACAATAAATGTGTTTAATACCTATATTGTTAAAAAATATTCATATGTATATGAACAAGAATATTTTAGGTATAGTTTGGAAAAACATACATCTTTTGTCCTGAATAAAGTATTTCAAAGAATAAAGCAACATTTTACTGCAATTAAAAAAAAAACAATCCCATACCCTGAACAGGTAGAGATTTGGATGTTGTTAATTAACAGGAAGAATAGTGGAATCTAGGTGCTATCAGCCACTCAAAAGTTTTTTACCTTGAAGTTGCATGTTTAGTTTTCACTGTGAGCTATTCATGAAGAACATAAGAGCAAGAGATAATTGTAGACTGACACTGTCCGTGTGAATGGCTATTAGCCAGGATGGGTTGGAATGGTGTTCCTAGCCTCTGTTTGTCAGAGGCTGGAAATTGATGACAGGAGAGGAATCACATGATGGCTACCTGTAGAGTTCACTCCCTCAGGGTCACGTGGAATTGGAAATGGTTGGAAGACAGGATACTGGGCTAGATGGATCTTTGGTCTGACCAAGTATGGCCATTCTTAATGCTATAATGCACGTTCCAAATCATACCCAGTCACGGTTAGGAAACCATGCATTTTAAGTCTTAAAAATCTATATTGACCCAAAGCTATTTCATAACTACACTGTAAAGGAGTCAGGCATATTGTGAGAAAAATCCATAAAGAGCAGATGTGTAACATAAGTACAGCCTGATCAACTGAAAAGTAACATGTCTATGAACTATTACAATGACTACTTTTGTATACAATCTGTTCAATGCTTAAATTTCAAATAAAATCTGATTAATCCTCCACTAAAAGAACATTTTCCCAATCATTAACAGGCAATTATCTAGATTTAGTCTTTTTCGACTCAGCTCATACAGCTTCTCTAGGCTGCCATGAAGGCTGACCTGCTGTCTTCAACTAGTACTTAGACTAACACAGGTACCTCTGAAACGGGTGTTTCAGCAAACACAGCAAGGAGTCCAATGAAGTGAATTGTAACTCACAAAACCTTATTTCATAATAAAATTGTTAGTCTTTAAGGGTACATCTACACTGCAAGCATTATTCTGAAATAGTAAAGAGCTTGTCTACACTACAAGCCTTTATTTCTAAATAATGTTGAGCTGGAGGACTTATTCTGACTCATGGTAGCCTTTCACAAGGAGTAAGGGAAGTCGAAGGAAGAGTGTTCTTCCTTCGACTTCCTGCTGTGTAGACAGCACCAAAAGCCAAGTTAAGCTATTTGGAGTTAAGCTATTTCGACTTCAGCTACGCAATTGACGTAGCTGAAGTTGAGTAGCTTAATTCGACTTTAGCCCTGCTGTGTAAACATACCCTAAGGTACCACTGGACTCCTTGTTGTTCGCACTGACAGGTGCTAAAAGAGTGTTCTATCTACTGTTACACTGCTACAGTTGTAGGATTTTTCCTCTCCTAATATTAATGCTGCTAATGGACTTCGTTTGAATAATCAAACTTTTGACATTCTCTTTCCATGTTACCCTCTGAAATCGTGAGTCAGAGCTTTTCTTCTCAAGGGCATGTCAGTGCAAACAGACACTCCCTCTATTTCTTCCCCCAACTCATCCCCCTCTGCACAATCCCAGATCTGACACACATTGCCCTAGGAATGGAAGAGGGCCAGGCTTTGCTTTCTGACTTCTTTTAAAAGGAGTATGTGTCAAAGCTTTCGACATTTTATTTAATTAGAATTTCTGGGTTGAGTTTTAACGTCGTTGGACCACTTATCCCTGCCGATGAGTGCTGGTAGAGGACAACTAGCCCCTGAAAACAAGAGGTTTGCGATCATCTTTGTACCTTTCAGTTTTCTTCCACCTTCTTCCTCAAAGGGCAGGTATTTTTCACAGGGACCTCTCAATCTTGTTGACCATGCCAATCCACAGGGAAGGGACTCCCCAGCACTTTAGAGGAAAGGAACCCTCTGTAGCTAGATATTTATACTACGCTCACTGTGATTTCCACTCTAACATTCCTCTGCTTCCTTGTAGGATAGTTCCTACTAAAAGCATGGAAGCAATGCAGCAGTAAGCAAACCCCTGTTCTCTCCCCAGAAAAGCAGGGAGAGAAGATAAGTACTTAGTTTTGTCAGAAGAACTAACACACACGGATATCTGCCATTGGAGGAAGATGCTGTAGACAGCCCTTCTTCACAGTCGCCCCTTGAGATGATGTAAAGTTCCAGCATACAGTTGCTTTTGCAGGGGTGGCGCTGGGGAAATCAAGACTCCCTGTCTGTGAAAGCATATGGGATGAACAGATCCCTACAAAGGTTAAGATGCCACATCACAACACAACTCAATAAAGCTTTATCATACACATGTGCTAAGCAGATATTGGAATAGTCTTCAATAGGGCTGAAAAAGGAATATGCCATAGCAAGGATAGAGATGTTAAATTTAGTTTATCCATCGACTAGTCAATAAGTGGGGAGCTGCAGCAGGGTTAGCTCCTGTCGGCTCTTAACCCAATGGGTGCACAGCATGGAGGGAGGAACCCAGCTCGAGCTAGGACAGCTGATTCCCAACTCCTGTTGGGTACTCCCGCTGCACTTTAGCCTTTCAAATGGATTAACAGCCTGTTGGCTATTAATCCATCTAAAAAGTAGAGGCACGTCTGGGACTAAGCACAAGCCGGGAATCAGCTTTTGCTTATCGGATAGTCGTCTAGTCATTTACATCCCTAAACCAGAATGTAACTTGTGGAATAGTGTTCCCTACATACTCACAAGAGCCCCTTCTAATTTAATGTTCTGTATGTCAATGATGAACAAGTCTAATTTATACCTGTAATAACTGATGTGTGAAGCAATAACATCTCCCACAGGTGTTGGATCCCAAAGTGCACATTTTGACAGAGGAAAACTGAATGGTACCATCCTGCTTGAAGGAATTCTGTAAAAAAAAATAATAATAATAATAATAATGAGTAATATACTAACCTTAATATTTTTAGCTTTACTTTATACAGTTTGGGTTGTTGGGCCAGAAGATGAATGAAGAAACCCCCACGTCTTAATATCAAAACAGGTGAAGCGTAAACTTTTCCCATGAACGAAACAAGGACGATAACATGATTTTCATTTATTTTGCCATTTTAAAAGGACAAATTGCTACAGTTCCTTCATATGGTGTCAGGTGTGCACGCCAAAGCACTAACTGCTTTTAGATAAAGCTTGAGGAATTAAGATGTTCTAGATAAAAAACTGGAAAAACTAAAACATACCAAGAAATAAGTGATTTTCAGCTTATTTAAAATTAAGAAAAACATTGCCAAAAAGTCATCTTTCTAGTTTCCTTGATAGTTTTCCACTAATCCTACTTTAAATTTAGAATATACTCTATTTAAAAAAACAGCGTGTTTTGAGGACTATTTAAAAAACAATTCTACCTGAAGTCAAACTGCATGTTACACAAAGGCTGTGTCTACACTGGCACCTTTTTCCGAAAATGCTTAAAACAGAACAGTTTTCCGTTATAAGTATTTCCGGAAAAAGAGCATCTACATTGGCAGGATGCTTTTCCGGAAAAGCCCTTTTTCCGGAAAAGCGTCCATGGCCAATGTAGACGCGCTTTTCCGGAAAAAAGCCCCGATCGTCGTTTTCGCGATTGGGGCTTTTTTGTGGAAAAGACTACTGTGCTGTTTACACTGGCCCTTTTCCGGAACAGTTTTCTGGAAAAAGGACTTTTGCCCGAGCGGGAGCAGCATAGTTTTTCCGGAAAAGCAGCTCATTTCTTACAGTAAATCGTCACTGCTTTCCCGGAAATTCAAGGGGCCAGTGTAGACAGCTCGCAGCTTATTCTGGAATATCAGCTCCTTTTCCGGAATAAGTGGCCCAGTGTAGACACAGCCAAAGAGTATTACTGAGAGTTTTGTGACAACAGAACTCAGGACATTAAGAAGCTGTAGCTACTCAAAGGTTAAAAAACTGTACACTTACAAATTTTATTTTATGATTTCTTCAAGTTAACAGAAGTAATCTGTTAGTAATCCATATAACGTGGTTCATAACCCACTGTTAACATTTGACTGAAGACCAATTCAGGACTTCTTCCTTAAAATGTTTTACATTAATCAAAAATATACACCAAACACATTTATTTTAAACATAAGTAGTCTCATTAGTTTACAATATTTAGCGTCCAATCGTGAAAACTGACCAATGAGGATTAGGGTCTGTGGAGGCATAGGAATCCACCTGCAAAGATCAGACTGCAGAATAGGGCCTTCAACTGTGACATCTTCAGAAAAAAGACTGTGATTTAAGTCTATTTATGAAGCACCATGCACAAGGGGCCTCCAATCATGATTATGGTCTCCAAGCATTATTATAATATAAATAAATAAAGCATGATGGCATATACTTCATTGCAGACAATAAAACTGTGTTATTTGTAGGTCCAAATATCAAGAGAGACTTGCTTTCTTTGAATCCCTTGTAAGGAAATTATTAACAAGAAAAGCTTTCCATAAAGTAATTTCTCTAAAGGGGAGCAGATACCTAGGATTGGTTTGGTGATCAGAAACAGCACAAATAGCCTCCATGACTGCAGCGATCGATCCCCTGCAAAGAAAACAGAAGTCTCAGAGGGGCAGTCATGTTAGTCTGTAACTTTAAAAATGAATAGTCGTGTGGCAACTCGGGCTATGTCTACACTGCACAGTTATTTTTGAATAAGCTATTCTGGAATAGTCATTCCAGAATAGTTTATTTCGAAATAGAATCACAGAGCTGGAAGAGACCTCAGGAGGGCATCAAGTCCAGCCCACTGCCCAAGGCAGGACCAACCCCAACTCAATCAACCCAGCCAGGTCTTTGTCAAGCTGAGACTTAAAAACCTCTAGGGATCGAGGTTCCACCACCTCCCTAGGTAACCCATTCCAGTACTTCACCACCCTCCTAGGGAAATAGTTTTTCCTAACGTCCAACCTAGACCTCTCCCACTGTAACTTGAGACCACTGCTCCTTGTTCTGCCATCCCTCATTACTGTGAACAGCCTCTCTCCATCCTCTTTGGAACCTCCCTCCAGGAAATTGAAGGCTGCTATCAAATCCCCCCTCGCTCTTCTCTTCTGCAGACTAAACAAACCCAAATCCCTCAGTCTCTCCTCATAGGTCACGCGCTGAAGCCCCCTAATCATTTTGGTCGCCCTCCGCTGGGCCCTCTCCAAGGTGTGCATGCCAAAGCACTAATTACTTTTAGATTTCTCTTAAAGTTTGAGAAATTAAGATGTTTAGATAAAACACTGGAAAGACTAAGACATACCAAGAAATACGCGATTTTCAGCTCATTTTAAATTAAAACTAAGAAAAAAATTGCCAAAAAGTCATCTTTCTAGTTACCTTGGTAGTTTTTCACTAATTCTACTTTAAAGTTAGGATATGCTCTATTAAAAAAGCACCATGTTTTGAGGACCATCCTATCTATAGTGGGGGTCCCAGAACTGGACACAATACTTCAGGTATGGCCTCACCAGAGCCAAATAAAGGGTAATAATCACTTCTCTAGATCAGCTGGCAATGCTCCCCCTAATGCAACCTAATATGCCATTAGCCTTCTTGGCTACAAGGGCACACTGCTGACTCATACCCAGCTTCCCATCCACTGTAATTCCCAGGTCCTTTTCTGCAGAACTGCTACTTAACCATTTGGTCACCATCATATAACAATGCTTGGGATTCTTCCGTCACAAGTGCAGGACTCTACACTTGTCCTTGTTGAACCTCATCAGATTTCTTTTGGCCCAAACCTCCAACCCACAGGTTCCCAAACTGGGGGGGCGTGAGGTGACCCAGCCCCTTCTCCCCCAGCCAGTT